TGCCATGCCATGCCATGCCATAAATACATAATGTATGTGTGCATGTGTGAATGTGTGGCGTTTGTGGACGAGTATTTTACTTTCTGGGCCCCGTCTTACCATAATCCAGACGAGTTTTTATTTATTTTTGGCAACCTACCTGGCCGGACGTTATATAACGTCAACTCTCAATGGTTTCACCACGACTTAGAATGCCGAAACTCCGTCCGGAATCATGCATTTCAATGCATACATATTTGACTTATTATCAACAAGTGTTCGGGGGAAATGCGTGTACCAGTTCGCCAGTGATCAAAGATCTCATTAGGCTGGTCAGATGGTCAGTTGCTGTCGTTGCTTCTGCGCTTGGCCTCTCCGTCAAGCCACTAACCAAATATCAGGGGCTGCTCGGGCTGGGACTGGGACTGCGACTGGACGGGCGTGACCGGCTGTGGGCCCGATACTTGCGCTTTCATTTCAACATTACCATCAGTGCTTCGGGCGTAGATTCAAGCGGCCCAACCAACTGATCGGGGCCGCCTTTATTTGACTTTTGAGACGCGTGGAATGCCAAGTATTTCACTGCAGTAAGCCTCCAAGTAGAGATGGACGTCAGCTCTGTATTTCCCCGTGGCCCGTGCTGCACTCATTCGTGCTCGACAGTTCACACCAAGAACTAAAAATGAACTACTAAAATGCTGATAATATTTTATGGAGCTCTCCGATACACCTGCAATCAACTTGGGGTATTGGCGTAACTATAAACTATATAATTCCCAATGAATTGTATAATCTGTATAATCAATTTTCATGGGAAACTAAAATTCATTTCCAGCAATATAGTTCCTATGTTTAGTTTATACTTTATATAGTTTCATGGAAACCCGACTGCGCCCATCTCTACATGCCATGCCGCGTCATGGCCTTCTCTGATCTGGCCTGTAAGGGGACGCGACGCACTTGAAAATACATACATACATAATATGTACATATATACTCTTTGTTTTTATACTCTTTCAAGGTGTATTACAATTTTGCCCAAAAGCTAAGGGCGCAAAAAGAAGATAATAATAATAATCCCCAAATCACACGGATCCCATTGAAAAGATCGATCCAAACACTCGTATTTCCATCATAAAATTGAATATATCGAGTAGCGATATCTGAGAGGGTATCTAAAACTTGACCTTCAGGATCCAGAGTTTTCTTCTTGTTTATTTATTTTCTTGGCGTTGGGATCTGCGGGGGTACGTACTCTGGTCGCTGCTCCAAATCAGCTCCCTCTCAGGGGATTTTGGCCTTATGGGAATTAGAAACACCTACCACTGTGCCATGCTCTAAAATTATTTTTATTTTTAAACAATGGATGCTTCCCACGAACAGCAATTTGCTACCCCAAGAGAAATGTTAGTTTTTTTAGTACATACATATGTATGTACAAATTATAATTCAGCTTTGATTTAAACACAAATGTGTTAAATACAAATTAAAAATAAATTAAATATACATATATCGTTTGTAGGAAATATACTTGCATACGATTCTCAGTGTATACATACATATGTATGTATGGGTGTATATGTATCAGGCACAAAAATGTCACAGGTATCGTGGAATACTCGGTTGAGAGTGGGAGATAGCCTCCATTGGCAAGTGTAGATTTTGTGGTCGAAGTATCGAGTACCGTGCTCGATTTTCAGCAGCCCGAATAAACGATTGACTGAAAGTGCAGTGACACTTGAAAGCAAACATTTAACACAGTGATAATACCAGGGTGGCGCAGTTATTCATAAGTCAGTGCTCCCGAAAGCCCTTCCCCCTTCCATCTCCGATTCCCTTCAATGTGCTCATCTCTAGCGAAATCGTCGCTTGCGCCAATTCCGGGCGTATCCAAAAATTAATTGGCCCTTGTGTTGCTGCTCGCATTTTGGCCTGGCTTGTACGTGCTGACGCTGCTTCTGCTCGGCCAGTTGGACAGGTGTTTTCATCGACCTCCATTGGCTCTTTACATACAGGCACATATGCATGGACACATATGTATACGCGACGAGTGTGCGTGAACATAGTTATGGATGCGCTCGACTCATTCATAAATAAAATAATAAAAAAAAACCCCGAGCAAATTTACTCGATCTACGAGTGTGTTCCATATCCACGGGTCATGTGGCGGCCGGGCGGGTAGAAGGGTGTGGAATCATCATGTGTTTGCCCATGCAATCAGCGCCATCTAGCGTTAATGAGATGCGCCCACAAAGGATATACATATGTACATATATATGTACCTATGTACTCGCCTATGTATGTACCTACAGTGCAAGCTCGAAAGAGTGAAAACATCTCTTGGTGGAGAATACCCTGGAATGAATATCTGCAATGAATTTCGCCTAGATCCATATATTCGCACATAAATAACCCCCGCAAGACCCCCGTATGACGAAATGTAAATAGTTTGCATATAAATGCGATTAATGTATTTATTTGTCAAGAGAGAGAGATGTAGTCCGGTGCGATCTGTGTCAACGTGGATTTGCATAAACTCTGTTTCATTTTTTGCCTTTCGACCTCTGCTGCGTGCGCTTCGGTTTGACTTTGACCGTGAATGTCCGCCCAAGGGGGATTTCACTGTACTGTGTGGTATCAAAAGATGTCTTTAGCTGCTGGCTGCGCAACTTGACCATGAAATTCATTTGGGGCTACGTGCTACTATTTCCGTTTTGTAAGAAAGTTAATTTGCGTTGCGTCTTGAACGTTGAGTGTTGAGTGTTGAGTATTTAGTATTGAGCGTTGATCGTTGAGTATTCAGCGTCGAGCGTTGATTTGAGCAATTTCCCCGCACTTGTCTGACTTTGACCCGTTTCGCGTATTATTTTCAAATTTCGAGCCATTTTACATTCATATTCACACATTCACATTCACACTTGCACTCACAGTCGCAGTCGCCGTCGCACTCGCACACACCCACGGTAGTTACGGCAGTGACTGATGGCTGGGGTCAAGGTAAGGCTAACGATTCTGAACGGCACTATTCAGGGGAATTTTTAGGTGTTATTTGTTCGATTTACTGATTTGATTGCTACCCAGCGCTTCTCGGCCCTCGGTTGTAGCTTCTAGCTTCTCGGTTCACCGTTCTCCGTTCTCGGTCCCCGGCTATGTTTACTTTGAAAATGGATCTGGCGTCCAAAGGTGCGACGAGTATATTTGTCCCCGAATGGAGTTAATTGATGGATTGTTGGCTTAAGTTATCGCACGACTCTAAGATTTCCTCCCCACCTTTGGGGAACGAACGCATCCATATCAGTGGAGTATGCGAGTATCTTCCCTCTCGTGCCAAAGATACTGTGGGGTTGTGCGCCTCTGGGGGGTGTGGGGTTGGTTGGATCTCCGATCCAAAGGTTTCCCCTGCAGTCGACCTTTAGTTTGTTTACCAATTTGTCCACAGACATTGTCTCAGCGACACATGCCGAAAAGATGATGGAAAAAGGCGGAAAACGGCACTCTCAGCCGTTCGGCAAGGCAAATAGAACAATAGGTAAACGGGCAAATGCCAGACAGCAGGTACAGTCACGCCGCCAACCGTCGCCCCCTGCCCCCTGCCCCTACCCAGTATGGTATGCCATGGGCTGGAGTTGGAGACGAACTTGGGTTCGTGCCACCAAGGGTCACATTTGCATTCCGTTATGAGAGAACAGAAACGAATCGAACGAAAAGAAAGTGGAGGCAGACGCAGAGGCAGAGGCCCAGGCGATACCAAAGCGTATCTTCAGCTGGCCAAGTTCTGTCGTTGGCCAGAACGGCGGGCCGGTTGACTGGCCGACCGACCACTCAAGTCAACGAATTAGGCCTCAAGTATGGAAGCATGCAGGTAACGGTTCCTCGACTTTGAGCTGCAACCAAAAACATCAGCTGTCTCTCTCTATCTCTATCTATCTCTCTGTCTCGCTCAGCATGAGCGCACGCGGCACAGACTGGTCTCTGGTCTCCGGTCTCGTCTGGCCGGGAATTTCCGCACACTTGTTGCATGTGGCACAGTTTTGCAAGCAGCGGCGCTGCTTCCGAGTGGCGTCTGAGTCTGACACCCCACTACCCTACTACCCCACTCTCTGGACAGCGGGCAGCACACACACACACAAACGGACACAGAAACGGCCCGGAAAGCGAAAGTGGTTTTGGCAGCAGCTCTAATAGCCGACAGCCAGCTATCTAGCCAGCAGAGCAGGCCACAGCCAGAGCCGTTGGCCAAACCAAACGAATGCATAGAAATGGCCAGCCAGCCAGCCACCCAGCCAGCCAGCGCTGTTACATCAGCCAACTGTTGCCGCCACAGAAGATGGCGACTTGCGGCAGCAACAGAAACAGAAACAGAAAAAGCACCGCTTCAACATCTCTCTCTCTCTCTCTCTTTCTCTCTGTTTGTCTCTGCATGCTTTTCTCTCTCAGTGTATCCGTATCTGCAGCTGTGCCTGCGTGTATCTCTCTACGATGCGTATCTCTGCGGCCACACACCATGCCACCATGTACATAATTTGCAATGCAAGCTCGAGTTGGACGCGGAGCACGGGCCGACCAGCAGCAGGCCGTCTTGGACCGGCCGGAGCGCGGCTTCAGTTGGATTTCTGGCACGCTGGCCAACGGTTCAAGTAGCGGGTTGACGTTGACGTGTCGTGTCGTGCCGCTGGCTCTCGTCCACTCCACTCACGCGACTCACGCCGCTCGATGCACGGCGCATGCACGACCGGACGACGACTTTGATAAGCCTGGCCGGGCCGAACGATGTAAATTGTTAAACGATATTCGGATTCGCTTCTCTCCCGATACTCTCTCTCTCTGGCTCTCCCTACAGGGCGCGCGCTCTCGCGTTGGTACTTGGCATGATTCACCGTTAAGCCGTATAATCGCTTTACTCGTGCGCGCACTGATCGATTCAGCTTCGTCGTATGGTTGTCGTTGTCGTTGTCGTTGTCGTTGCTATTGTCGTTTGTCGCCGCTGCCCGCCCGCCTGATAAGGTTCAGACGCACATCCAACCAGCCGTCAGTTGGCTTAAAAGCGTCCAACGCAGAGCATCGGGCCACAACCGGAACAACCGATCAGCGACAAACTGTTGCCAAATAATACCCAAATACCCAAATACCCAAACAACGCGGGCCAAGAAGACCCGCCACAACTCCGTGTTGATTTCATTTCTGTGAGTGTCGTCCAGAGCGAGTGCGAGTGCCGAGTGTTGAGTGTCGAGTGCGTGTGATTAGATAATCTGTGTAAGCCCGCCCATAAATATTTGTATGTACATGTGTGCATAATTAAAGGGCCCAAACCCCAAACTGAAAAACCAAAAACCCAGCCAGTGCCAAAAAACATAAAGCATTACATTCCCGCAAGAAAGCGAAACTTTCAGGGGGGAGGCAGCAGGTGCGTGGCGTGGCCGAAACCAATGGCCACTTCGCTCGAGCCGCCCGTGTTTCGGTCTTGCAATCCCCCATTGTATAATCGCCCCAAGTGCGACCCAAACGTGACGCGACTCTCGAGTGCACACACACACCCATCCAGTGGAAGGCAAAGATAACAGAAGCACGGCCAGAAGCTAATTTGTATGATCTCCGTGCGGCGATCGGTGCTCGGATATGCTGCACACAGAAGAGTGGTCGAGCGGTCAGGTCTAGTGGATAGTGGCTAGTGGATAGTGGCTTTTGGTGGCTTATCGGCCAAATCCAATTAGCCGATCAGCCATCTGCCGAGGAGCGGACAGCGCCAAAAATATACATACATACTCCTTGAGATTGATAAGCGCAGGTGTGGAACGAGGGCCGCCGATTGGGGCCAGTGCCGGGAGTACTTTGAGGAAATTGCTTCCCTATCTCTGGAGATTAAAAGTCTGCCATGTGACTCATTATTGATAGGCGGTTTGGGGGGCCACAGTGCGTGTGTGTGTGTGTGTGCGAACGTGTTCAAGAAGTCCCTGGCTTATCGCCCGGGAATGCGTCATTGGCCCAGCCCCATGCCCATGCCCATGCCCCACTTCGGTATACACATACACACATATTTGCATACATGGCCTGTAGTGGGGCTCTTCTGCATCGATTTTCCACTTAATTAGGTTTTCTAAACGAACGATTACAATGGAAAACATGGCCAGAGCCATATAATCTCCGTACGGCATACGCCCCGAGGATGGATGGCGATAAAATCAACAAACTCATCAAACTATTTGCGCTGTGTGTCTGTTGCCCCTGCCCCTGCATCTGCCTCTGCCCCTGCCTCTGTCCTTATCCGCTGTTGCTGCTGCTGGGGGTAGGGCGGAGCTGCTCTAATTGATTTATAAAATGCAACCACTCCACCACGGTTACTGCAACATCGTGTAAACACACCACAAACAGTGGCGTGCAGGCCTCAGTCCATCCCCCATCCCCCAACTGCCACTCGGCCACTCGGCCACTCTGCCACTCTCTCGACTATTACGTAGCGCATCTCTAGGCTGGACTGGGGATGGGGGTTGGGGACTGGGATTGGGGATGGATTGTCGAGCTGCCACAGCCGGAAGAGCAACAGGCGGCTGGGGCTTGATGGCTCATTGATTGTTTACCTGGGCGCAAACGGTGACGATGCCGCAGCACATGTTGCACAGCGCACCGGGCACCGGGCACCCGCGACCCCCGACTTGTTTGCGGATTTTGTTTGCTTCACTTTGCGTTCCGTATCTTGTATCTTCTTGGCCCCCTTGGCCCATTGGCAGCGAGTCAATTACATAAGCGGGAGCGTTCCTCCCTTTTTCTGCCTCTGTGTTTGTTTGCCATGACAATTCGAACGAACCCGCAACACCTTCGACAGGCAGGCAGGCAGGCAGGCAGCGGGGGGTGGGTGGGGTCTCTAGCTGGGGCCATTGCCATTGCCCATCCCATTCCATCCCGTTCCTCAAAAGAAATGTCATCGTGAATGCTACGAGTATTTCGTAATTCATTCGAAACAAAACACGAAAAATATGCGACCAAAAACAGCGGCTGTATGTCGTCGCACCTCGGATGCTGCACGCCTTCGGCTTGACGCTAGCGTAGGCCAGGCGGCGGCAGAGGCAGCGGCAGCGGCAGCCGCCCCCAAAGCGTGCCACTGACCCACACAGCCACGCCAATTGCGACAGCCGCGAAATTGGCGCTGGCTGAGGAAACGACAGCCGTAATAAAAGCGGCACATTTTTGTCAACGGTTATTGAGCCAGTTGCTCAACTCTTACGTCTCCATCGCCATCGCCATCGACACAGCCATCTCCATGGCCAATTTATTGTTCATGACATTCAAAAAACACAACCTGAAGTGGCCGCGCAACCGCGACCAGGTCGTTCAAATGCCTTTGGCTCGTCGCGGGCGATGGCAACGGAGCCCGTGGGCGGGAAGGCCGTTCACGCCGGTGAGGGAAAAGCGAAACCTTGGCGGAGACAGAACCCTCTGGTGGGACTGCAATGGCGATCGCGATGCGATCAGGAATTTGCTTTCACTGGACTCAATGCCACACAAATCAATTGATATTCATACGACGGTTGGCGAGAACCTGAATCGGAGCTTGAACTCGCTGAACCTGAGCAGATCGTGCGATCTGAGCGATCAGTGTGGTGGTGCGAGGGGGGGGGGTGCGGTACCCCGTAAGCTGGAATCCGGCTGGCACAAGGTACAGACTCTGTCCAGCCAGCGGCTGCATTTCAGGAATAATTGCTGTCTGCCAGCAAATGGCAAATAGCAAATAGCAAACGACAAATAGCCGTGATCATTGTGCAATTTCTTCTCGGTGCAGGGGCGAGCAGCTGGCCAAGTCACGCCCCTGATTACCGCCGCCGTCACCGCCGTCGCCGCCCTCTTCGCACACGACGCTAATGTAATTTCCCGATCCCAAGTGTTGATTAACGGGCAGATTGTTAATTGCATGCATTTTGCATTTTATTGTGTGTACTAGCCTCTAAAGCACCGGCAATTAACTTGTCGTGTGCTCCGCTGTCGAGAGCGAGCCGGGACCACTGCCCAGAGATGGACAGAGGGAGATGAAGGGATGCAGAGAGACAGGGACAGAGAGATCAGATGCCACTCTGTGAGGTTCGCGGTGAGGTTCAATGTCACCGTACAGCGTGTCCGGCATGCCGATCGGTCGGGTATCGCTTCCTGTTCCTGCTGAAAGCGATCTTGCTGTTGCTCTTCGAATGCAGTTGGGGAGGGAGGGGAATCCTACTCAGCAGACTACTCAGACTAGTTGACACTAATGGTATTTCCCCTTTCAGCTTTTTACACCGAAATCAGGAACTGCAGACCACCTTGTTAGCAGCAGACGAGCAGAAGAATGGCGATCATACTGCAAGAGGCCCAGGAGTGGTACAGGGAGCTCTTGGACAACAAGAGCGGTAAGCATGATGGAGGATGGAGGATGAATGATGGATAATGGATCTTGATGCTGACGCACATTTTTATTTCAGATCCCCGTGTGAAAGACTTCTTTCTGCTCTCCTCGCCACTGCCGACCCTCGGAATGTGCATATTCTATGCGTATTTCAGCAAATCCCTGGGACCAAGGCTGATGGCCAAGCGGAAGCCAATGGAACTGCGGTCGGTGCTAGTCATTTACAACGCGATACAGACGATATTCAGCGCGTGGATCTTCTACGAGGTTAGAATCGCCAGCACCTGCCCCTCAGAACAAACACTCTCAATCTCTTGTCGTTGTAGTACTTAATGAGCGGCTGGTGGGGCCACTACAGCTTTAAGTGCCAGCCAGTTGACTACGGCCACAGTCCCCTGGCCCTGCGGGTAAGTGCTCCACAGAACCACAGAACCGGACTCCCACAGGTAGAACTTCATTCTTTGACTTACAGATGGTCAACATTTGCTGGTGGTACTACATATCGAAGTTCACCGAGTTCTTTGACACGCTCTTCTTCATCCTGCGGAAGAAGAATGAGCACGTATCCACACTGCACGTAATCCATCATGGCTGCATGCCGTTCTCGGTCTGGATGGGTCTTAAGTTTGCCCCAGGTGCGTATCCTTCACACATGACATATCCCCCATACGAGTATCACATATCATATCCTCATCTTAGGTGGCCACAGCACTTTCTTCGCCCTGCTGAACGCCTTTGTGCACATTGTGATGTACTTCTACTACATGATCGCAGCAATGGGCCCCAAGTACCAGAAGTTCATCTGGTGGAAGAAGTACCTGACCACCTTCCAAATGGTAAGATCTACCCGTGCACTCGTGCCACACGCTCTAACGGCCCCCCTTTCAGGTTCAGTTCGTGGCCATCTTCACGCACCAGTTCCAGCTGCTGTTCCGCGACTGCGACTATCCCAAGGGCTTCATGGTCTGGATTGGCCTGCATGGCGTGATGTTCCTGTTCCTGTTCTCCGACTTCTACAAAGCCAAATACCTGACTGTGACCCGTCGTCGCCGGCAGGCCGTCAAGGCCAACGGTCATGCCAATGGCCATGGCCTGCACACAAACGGGCACAGCAAGCACTTGGGCAACGGCGATGCACTGGTCGCCAACGGCAGCAATAAGGGGGCCTGCATGGTAGGTGTCACATTGTTACATCGGCTCCCGCTCTCCAGGGCGGGCTTAATGCGCAGTTTAATGCGCAACCTTAGATCGAGTAGCCCTTGAGTCTTATTAGCCTTGGCTGAGCAAACACATTTACCTGGCCTACCCTGTCCAGGGGTCTATCGTTTGTTGTGTTGCGTTGTGTTACCAGCCTGGGCCATCAGAGTTGGAGGAGAGTCGAGTCGCTGTGGGCAGTTGTTGTATCATCAATGTTGTTGATCAACTTAAAAATTCTAACTAGCTAAGTTAAGCAAACGCGAACGCAAACAGCACACAGCTCAGCACAGCACAGCACTTGCAAACTTTCAGCGCTGGCGGGGGACGTTTCAATTAGCGCTCACATGTGAAGCCGGATGCGAAGGCCTAGACCCAAGCCCAAGCCCAAGCCCAAGCACAAGCCCAAGCATAGGCACAATCCCAATTCTGCGGCTGTCCATTAGAATGGCACACACACGCAGCTTCGCAGCTTGGCGCAGATGAATCTCGGCTCGCGGCATACACGTGTGCCGCCGTCCGCTGGACACAGTCCTCAGTCTGAACTTGAACTCATTTGGCAATCGTTTGTTCTCTTTGCAGCCCGTGCTGGAGGACGAGTACGTGACGAGGAACGGGAACGGGAACGGGAACGGGCATGCCGGTGGCGGCGGCTTCGAGGACGGCTTCTTCAAGGAGGGCGCGTTGTCCAGCAACGAGTCCATCCTGAATCCGGACGGCAGTAGCTCTAGTCTGCACCAGCGCAAAGTCAAATAACTACTACTAAGATTTACTACGATGATATTCATTATGTTTACCGTTAAGTGCTAGCATGTAACCGAACCAGATTGAAGAACAAGACGGCCACGAAGCAGCTGCAGTATGACCATTGGAACCTGGCAAGGAACCTGGACCCGGGAGAACCAATCGCTTTATGATCTGTTCTTTTATTAACTTATAAACAATTACGTCTAATACACAAAACAATTCACCTCGGAATCCCTTCGGATCGACCGCATTGTACCAAATTGAACCGACACGAACCGAGTCAACCTGTCCTGCCGCCACCCCACCCTACCCCTACCCTAAAGCTAAGGAGAAGGATAAGGAGGAGAGCACACCGAACCGAGCTTTTTATAAACGTTTTCTATTGTGGCACAAGTTTACAAGCCCAGCCCCCACACGATCCCTCCCATCACAGACGCAGACACTCACTCGAAAGTCGACGGTCGACAGAGAAACATATATTTTCGAATGATATTTGTAGATCCCCAATGAATCGCGAAACGTGTTCGAATCCAGCGACAGAACAGATCCATTTATATTGTATTAGATCCCCCTACCCAAGCAAATACCCATTACTATACACCACTATACACACACACACACACACTAAAGATATGTATGCAGATATACTCGAACGGGCGACACACTCACTCTAGTTGTAGACTTTTTTACGGCAATTTTTGATAACAGTCGAGACGTAATCCTAACGATAAACGATAACTAAACTGCTCTTAGGTCTGCTTTAAACTTAAAGAACACGTTAAACTATTTGTAGCTTGTTTTTGTATATTGAGGAGCGAGGAATGTAGAGAAGGGAAGGAAGAGCAGTTTGTTTGTTGCAATACTTTGTAAAGGTCTTATAGTAAAACTTATGTATGTATACTGATAAGTATAGTGCTTGAGAAGTAGTTAGCTAGCCAATTGCGAAACGAGACACACGATCCCCAGCCTATATGTGTAGCACAAGCACAAGAGCTAACTGAGCAATCAAACAGATAGTTAGATAGATAGACAGACGGACGGACGGACAGACAGACCATGGAGATAAAGCTTTTAGACTGTAAGTGCAAAACGGCTTAAGGAGCAGACAATCAGTGGTGCAGACGAATTGGTTTGCGAACCAAGAACAAAACTTGTCGACTATTCGTTTTTATTGGACCTCATTTGGTGTGGCTTATGTATGTATACTCGTATGTTTTGTAAGTGTAGGCCTTACGACTACTTATTGTATTAAATTCCCCATCCCCACTTTGGTTTGAAGTTGTTAGCTAAGCAGTTTCACTTCGGAGAAGAGGAGCGAGGAGGTTAGTGTTCGAGAAGATCTATTCGTATGTGTAACTGTCTGTTAATCTGTGCGTAACGTAACGTAACGTATCGTAACGTAACCTAGCGAAACGTAACGTATCGTACTGTATTGTATTTGATTGGTTTCTTTATTAAGTTATGTGGTTTAAGCTGACAAGTTCAAAAACTATGGAAAACCTGAATAAAGCTTATTAATTTATATTGAAATGGTAAAGCCAACAAACTATTTTTGCTCTGCTATCGTCAGAGCTGCAAAACACCGAGCCCGATTGCACTGTTCCCCCTTCGACACGCTGAAGGCCCTGTCCTCAGACGATTGCCCAGAATATTGATATTATTGAACGAGGGGAAGACCACACTTGAACAGTCACACTTGAGCTTTGCCAATGGGCAAATAAAATGTTAATGACGTTGTTGTAAGTGAAACGTTCGTACAGCTCGATTAAATCAAAACGCTAAAAAATAATAAATAAATAAAATATACAATTTGCAGTATTTACAGCGGCAGAACAGAACCAAGCACCTGTAAAAGTGCCACAATGTGAATTTAATTGAAGGTTGGAATAATTGGTTGGAAAATATTCTTTCAAGAGTTGTTTGAAGATCGAGGCATTGATGACGCTTTGATTGATTGAGATTGCAGCAGCTCTGAAGAAACCGAACCCATAAATGGTTTAGAGATGGAAAAACTTCAAGAAGGATTCGCATATGTTAGCTACTTGGAGTTACCTTATAGGGGGCCACAAAGAAGCGTTTAAAGCCACTGAAGAATCGAAAATAATGCTTGAAAAAAAAGAAAACAAGTTGAATTCTGAATTTGATATTAATAACTATTGTAACGAATGGAAGATTGAGTAGGACGACTATTAATTGCAGTGCCTTTTACTATAAATAGTCAGTTGGAGCCCACAGCTCCTTTGGAACGGAACCTAAATTCTTTCGGAAATAAAGCCTTTCTAAATAATAGAAGGAAAGAACTCTCTGTCTCTGTTTCCTAATCGAATACGAACCTTAAAAACGTAACAATATGTTATGTTATGACCTTTCTTGCTTTTGAAAATGTCTCAAGATTTAATCTGTTAATGATAAATATAAAACAGGAAGTACATTTTAGCTTTCTTTATATTGAATCCATGTCTCGCTACGGACATTTCTAGGAACGTGTCCTCCGTGCTAGGCGAGGGCCAGGATTGCTGCAAGAAAAGTGTACTTTTGTAGTGTTGCCTACTTTTAGGGCGGACACAACAGCCAAAATTTAAATGAAATGTATGTTTTGTGTATCTTTAAATTCATTATCTTTAAGATAGGGCCATCCCCCGTCTAGTCTCCGCATCTCATCTCTTTTTCCGCCAGAAGGGACACTCCCTCCTGGCATTGTGTCCGTGTGGTGTCATTGCCATGTTCAATGACTATCACTTTGTGACCCGCTGGGTCTCTGCGCTGCAACCCACTCGTGGGGCTCTTACGTATGCAAGCCAACTGGAGATGGGATTATAAATAGAAACACCACCTGACCGTTAGGGGAAAACGGCAAGATGATGTAAGTTGGCGAATAGGCAAATCCACTTGGCCACGACGATCGAGGCAAAGTTTAAGCTGTAGCTGGGAATCAATCATGCACAGCTGTACGTACTTATTAGCACTCATAATGGCGAATGGGTCTGTAATGAGTCCATAAAACATCCGAATCGGAACCGGCAAACAGACAAACCGCAGGCGGACAAGCCGCAGCTGGAGAGCTTTGCATGCCATGCCCCACTTGGCGCCCGAAATGGATCAGTTGCAAGTCGCAGCCAATGCCGGCGAACAACGCTTGGCTGGGCGAGCAGTGGGGCAGTAGGGGTATGCGGGGAAAAGTTAATAACAATGAAATGTTTGCCATTGGCTAAACATCGAAATTAGCAATTACTTAATTGACTAATTATTGGCAAATAAAAACCGTCCGACGGGCTGCTGGGCAGTGCCCTGTGTGTGTCCGGTCGTTGGGTGGCGACCGCTGGACGGTAAATATTTGGCACCCACTTGACCTTGTCAAAGTGCAGGCGCAAGCCGCAGCCGTCCGCCGAGATTTGAGATCCGAGATCCGGCGGCCTAGTGTTTTAGCCAAGTTTACACAACTAAATGCATCAAGATGAGCTGAGCTGAGATGAGGGTGAGGATGAGGAGCCGCTCTTGGCGGCGATGTTGTGTGGAGTTGTCTGGAGCCGGGGCTTGCCTCGAGGGCACCACTTGCTTCAAGTCTATTGTTGTGTAATTCCCAGTGCGAGTCAGTGGCGCGCGCGCGTGCTCAATTGAGCTAATCAAACACTTGTAAGACTCGTCAGTGGTCTTTAAAGGCGGCCACCCAATGCAGTAAAGTGAATTCATTTCGATCCAGTTCTAGGCTCTAGTCTTGCACCAACCAGCGAATGTACAGCGGTGGTTCTTCATTGCCAAGTCGATTATTATCGATCGGAGCTATTGCCAAATCATGTTTACATACTTTAGTACTTGCAGTCGACCTTCTTCCACTCGAAGCACCTTCCGAGGCAGCTACTAAATTTCCCTTTTATTTCTAATCAACTATACCTAGAAATGATGATTTGCAGTTTTCGATTTGCAACAAAGTAGGAACGACATTGTCGCCACTCCATCTCGCTGCTCAGATGCATTTTGGTCCAAGCAAAGTACGTATTTTCCATATAGTAGATCTGATCTACACAGAATTTTTGGTAAATCGAACAGAACGTAAACATATACACACACGAGTAAGTGTTTGCAAAGATACGAGTCCAGAATCCTTGCACGAGTACGTTGTGTAGCTATACCTCTTCCTGTGTGCCTTCCGATCCAGCTGATCGGGAATACTCTACCTAGAGAAAAACCCTTCCTTCTGCTTCAACGGGCCACTATTGTTGATCGATTTATCGAGTGTGGGGCATAGTTTGTTAATTGGAACCAGTGTTGGGTCCTGCAGCGGCATCTGTAACGTGTTGCTGTTTGTTCCGAGGCCCTTGGACATTGCACAGCTGGAAAGCTGTGATCTGAGCATTCCACAGCATTCCACAGTGGGAGAAACCAGTAAATGGACAACAATGATGTGATGCGATGTGATGCGATGTGATGTATCCCCTTGAACCTTGGATGCGACGCTGACATCAACAACAGGAGCACGTCGTGCAGGGGTTCAGGTTCGGGTTCGGGTTCGGGTTCGGGTTCAAATTCAGGCTCGGGTTCGAGTCGGGTCCAGGCCAGGCCAGGCCAGGCCAGGGCAGGGCAATTAGACTGTTTGCTCTGCTCCATGCACTCGACGCTGGGGCCGCGGAAAGTTTTCTGACTGCATTTGTCACCGACCCGACCGATCCGACCGTAAAGTTTCCATAGCCAGAAGCTTTGCAAGTTCTGCGCCTGCGCCTGTGCTCTGCCGCTACTGGCTAAGCTGACGTCGGTTGACGCTGACTGCGGCGGCGTCGCCGACGACGACTGAGACGGAGACGCCGATGGCAGACGGCAGACGGCCGCGTCCCCACTTTTCGCGTTTAATCAGCCCCACATCGCGAGCGAAACTCAGTTTTCATTCAGAAGTCAAGCGCGCTATTCGTCGTCGGCTCCCCGTCTCGATCGTGTGGGCCACTGCAAGCAGTTGCGAAAATAATCAGTTTTACAAAGTTCTTTGGCAACAATTTGGGAAATAGTTCGCGCCGCGTGCAATTTTAGTGTTGTGGTTTTTGCAGTTTTCAGTTTTTGGTTTTCGGTTTTCGGTTGCTAGCGATTTACCAAGAGTCGTCGTCGTTCCTCGCCGTGGCTCGCCTTGCCCCGCTGTTGCCGATCTACAGAGTTGTTGGTAAGTTAAGTTGGTAAGCCAGGCCTGGCCGCCTGGCCGCCTGCCTCCACATGTGTTTTGCCTGTTCTTTTGCAACTGTTCGTGGGTCCGTTCACAATAACCATTTTGGACACCACCTCTCTCCACCTCTCGCCTCCCCGCCGCGCCGTGCCACTCTGTCTAGCAAATCGATTAAACTGGCCAATCGACTATCATTACCCGCGCTGTGTGGCAACCCTGACGCTTTGACACTTGCACCCGAGCGACCACAACCGAATTAGCATATCAAAGAGAAGAGCATAGAAGAGATCTTTCGTGGTCGCTCTCCGTAAGTGTTCCAATCAGCCGATCAGCTGACTTTTGTGTTTACTGCTTGCCCTTCGGAAACGATATTAACTCCACTTCCATTCCACTTGTTCGTTGTTGTGCCCGAATGCAGGTGCAGAGCTTTGATCAAGCTTGAAAGCTCCCGTTCATCATCCACGTTCCATGCAATCGATCGTCTGTTTTGTTTCTTAGCCCTCGTCGTACCTTTGGGCTCTGCTCTGCTATGCTCTTTGCTCTGCTCTCTGCTCCCCACAATTAGCACGCCCTTGGAGCAGCCGCAGCCCTCCTCTTGCTGGATGGAGCATCGTAATATTGTAAATATTAATGCGGAGTAAAAACAAAGATAAACTGCGCAAAAACTTCCCCATAAAACCTGTGTGTCTTGGACCGCCTTGGACCGGGCCTGACCTTGGACTTGACTCTCTGCCGGATCGGTGCCCGTCTCCACTTGACGTGGCAGGCCAGAGTCTGGTTTGTTGCGGAGTGCATCAGCATCCTGCCCTCATCCAATTCCCCCTGTCAATCGTTCGCATCAGAATCGGAATCAGAATCAGAATCAAGTTGTAAACGGCTTTTGGGAACAACTTTCGAGGAATTATGATGGAAGCGGCGCATATTTAATGGCCTCCTCATGCTCAGATGGGCCCACCAGTTCGATGCTCGCTTCCGTGTTGCCAATTAATTGAACAGGTTAATGGATGGGCTGGAAACTCCCGGGATTTTCCTGCAGTTCCAGTTGCTGTTACCTGCTACCTGCTACCTGCTGCCAATTCCTTTGTTCTGACTCAGAGCGGGACGACTTCTGGCTTCCTCTCCAGATTCCAGATTCCATATACCCGATTCCAGATTCCAGACTTCAGATTCCACATTACAGATAATTGCCGCTGTCCACGCCCAAGAATCATTTCAAGCAAATCATTTCAAATTGTAAGCCGCGGCTGTGTTTTCGGCATTTACATATGCAAACGATTCGCGCTCCTCCGCCGATCTTCGAATGCCACGCACGTAGAACCATTTCAAGCGAATTCGCAGGCCCCACTCCCCCCTCTACGGTCAATGTGCCTCGTTCCCAGAGACCGGCTTAGAGCAAGTACTCATCCAGACCTCAGTACATCACGACTAAAGCGCTGATCACTCGACGGCACTATGCGGCACTATGCTCACCTCTCTATAAATAATTCAAACATACATTCTGTCCGTTCCGTTCCGTTCCGTCTGGAACAGGATCTCCGCTTCCTCACCGCTCGGCGGCCCAGCTACCCAGCCGCGATGGGGGGATGCGGGACCAACCTGCTAATTGACAAACAACCAGCGCACACGCCCATCGAACTGTGCTTTTGGGAGAGAGCAGCAGAGTGGCTATCAAAATAGAAGGAACAAAGCGCGTAGATACATATTTGCTCCCCAGATTGAGGGAGCCCAGAGAAAGGGAAGTTAAGGCTGCCGAATGTACAGTGGAACCACGCTATGTCTGCTGGAACTGGTGGAACTTGAATGCCCTGGCAGCAACTGGTAGGACTGTATCGACGTGCATCGATGTGGTGGGATGCAGACCGAGTTTCGAGTGGGTTTGCCACAGTGTTGGGGCAGATATAAAGAGAGCAGCAGTAGTAGAGATCATTATATTTATGGTTTCTGATGTGTTGTCCAATAATTACATACGAGTATTCCACAGCCATTCACTTAGGTTCAGTCGCCGTAACCGACCAAAACTGAATGGTCATTCATTTTAGAATCATATAATAGACGTCTCTGCTCGTACTGCCTGGCATTTGTGAGCGTCATCGTTTCGGGATTGAACTTTGATCGGAGATTCTTGCGAAATTGGCGGGGGCTTTGGAGAGGCCTCTCGATCGGGCAACATGCCACATGAGTACGAATATAAATAAAAATACCTATATGCAAATACAATACATTATCACATTTCGTACAGATACAGATACAGATAGAAATACAGATACAGATACAGATACCTGTAAAAGCTTCAGTTGGCTCTTGGGGTTCTGTGGTGACTAATAAAGACAATTAACAGAGTTTCGTCTGCCGCTGTCTGCTACGTGTGGGGCATGTCCAAGCAACCAGAAACAGAAGCGAGATCTCACCGATCTGGACAGATATTGACAGGGGCTCCGAAGGTGCATGTGTGGGGAGACGTGTGCGTGTGAGGAGGAAATTGTGACTCTGACTACGAGATTAGATGAAATTCCCTCCGGATCAGCTGATAGCTCTCCCCCCTCTGACCCTTCCTGAACTTCACTTTCCTCTCGGGATGGTCCGATCCGATCCAATCGGCTTCAATCCGTCATCATCTGCAGACTACGAGTATTTCACAAATCACAACAAACCGAAACTGCCGAAAGACACTAAAAGGCGCAGATACAATCAATGGGGATGGGGGATGGGGATGGAGATACAAAAGCCAATCCACATCAGTGTGTGTATGCGTGAAGTTGTCTACAAATCTTGCCTGTTAATTGCCGTAATTAGTGCGACGAACAACAGAAACAAAAACAACAGCAACAACGAACGAAGAGAGTAGCGGAAAATGCAACAAATTGATCATTACAAAATCTTCCATAAACGATTCGGGCTGGGGCTCGCTGGGGCTTGCTCCATGGGACTCTCCCTCTCCCTCCCTCCCCTCCAGTAAGCTACTCCGTTGGTCAGTTGATCAGTTGGCCAGTTGGCCAGTTGGCCAGGCTTATAATTAGCCGGACTCCGAGGTGATTGGCGCTTTTTGGCCAAATTGTGTCGACCATTAGGGTCCGCTGAGGGCAGCGGAAACACAGGGCCGTAATGCAGTAATGAACAATTTTCCCATCTGCATCGCAATTTGGAAATGCTGTGGGGCACGCTCTCAGAGAACCAGAACTAACCCCCGAATGGGCTGTCAACAGCTTTTCACGGCCCGATTATTTCCGCATCTGCGATTTGCGATTTGCGATTTACGATTTACGATTGACGATTTTCACCTGGACCGAGCAGAGTCAAGGCCCGAAACGGATTCAGTTTGCTACTCCGGAAGCAGTCTGAGGGGGTGAGACACAAGCCGTAACGCAACCCCGAAGGCCGCGACTTGGGGCACTCATAAAACCGATCAGACCAGCCTCAAATTAGTGACTAATGTGGCCAAAACAAAAGACAATTGTCTGTACAATTGTACAGCGCATTTGAGCTGCTTCTTTTTAATGAGAGTTTTTTGGTCGTTTGCGCCGACGCTTTGCTCGCTATAAAGCTGTCAACAAAGCTGCCCCGACTTCTCGCCTGCGGATTTTGACATTGAAATGCGGCAGAAGATGGACTGGAATGGAAGTAAGAAGTGGGGGCACAAGCGGAGGTGGAGATGTTCATGATGCTGGCAGCGGCGATGAACCACCTTGCGACGTTGATTGAGTTGTCAAAAGCCAGCAACAATGCCAGCCCCATTTCCCCCATTCCATCACCACTCTTGCCCAGTCTTGCCCAGTCTTCCTCCATCTCCGCCTCCGCCTCCGACTCGACATTGTCTTGGCCTAGCCAGGTCTATGGGCCGCGAGAGCGAGGAGCACACGCACATGTGGCTATATAGGTCGGCGGTGGCTGGGATGGTGGTGTTTTGTTGCGGGTTTGCACAGAGATTAGTGGCTATTAGCGGGGCAGCCTTGGGACGGATGTGAGGTGAGAAATGTGCCCAAGAGCCGGCCTCGGCTCGCCAGCGTTTAACCATTTTAATTGGCATGAAACACTTGTCGCAGCGGCGGCACGTTCCCTTCCGACGGCCGGCCCTGCCCCCAAAGTTGCAAGATCAAGCCGACCTTAGAGAGACCTGAGTGGCTGTGGGCGGTGCGCGGTGGCTTCCTGGAGGAGGTAGCATTAATGAAGTTAATTCCAGCCCGGCATTCGTTAATCGATGCTTAATGCCTGCTTCTGGCTCTAGTATAAGCCCCTTCGATTGCATCGCTGTGCAATTACCCAAGGAATTCCATCGTGAAATGGCACTGTTTTGCCGCAGCTGTAGAGAGCTGCGATTACTGGAATACTCGTACTCGTACTCGTACTCGAATAGCTGTTGATTAACAACAACATTGAGCCGCCTGTTGTTTTTAATTACTGGTTCTATCTTAATTAACGTGTCCGTCCATTGGTTTCGTTTCCCTTCCGTAATCGCTTCGGTGCCAAAGTGCATCGAGCATCGTACATTCCCTTCCCTTCGCTTTCCTTCCGTGCCCTTCCCTTCCCTTCCGTTCCCTTCCCTTTCCCTTTCCTTTCCCTCGCATTAGACAAGCTTTCCAATATTTGAATTTTTGTTAGTTAGTTGGGATCGGAGTCGAATGTTCGCTGGGCTGGCCAAATATTTGCCTCGGAAAAACTCGAGTGCTGCGGCTCAACGGACCCCAAGATGAACTTTGTTTATCCATTGTCCGCTGTTTGAGGCAAATAAGCTACAAATTGCGCCATGTGTGGCCCACGACGATATCAACTTTCGATCGTATTCCCACACTCCACTCCAAGAGACCAATACTCCGATCGGATCGGGCCGGGCCGGGCCGGGCCCCTCCGTAGCACTCTCGAAATATCCATCCGATTGTGTGGAGCAAATAAAGCGGCTGGTAATGGGAATGGGAATGGAGATGGAGAGTGTGTGGTTTGTGTGCTCCCATCCCCCGTTCTAGCCAAATACGAGCAAACGCAGATCGTGGCTCTGACGTGTTTCC